TAAAGTTTCCCCTCCGGGGAGAGTTTATCATTTTACACTCTCATCAGTAGCTTGCAGAAATATGCCAGGACGGCAGCCATAAATGAACGTGATCCTTTAAAAAATCTTTGTTGATGTTACAAGTGAAAAAGCTCTTGTTTGTGTTTCTTAGAACACTAGAGCACTCGGGGCTCAGGCGTGTTTAATAATCCTCCTCTATGATTTCTGGCACAGAGGTAATATACTCTCTATTGAGACAGAAAGTTAATTCCCAGCTCAGATTCCTTAGAACTTCACAGACCCCATTCCTGGAACCAGAGCTCGGTGTTCTCTGCCTTGGCTCAGGAGCCTTATCTCTGTCTAGGAAGTCCTATGCTGTTTCCAGACGGCCCCCTCGCTCTCTCCAGTGGCCACTGCGGGACCTGCAGCCTCGCCTCCTTTCCTCTCGGAACTGGGAGCAGCAAAACAGGCCAGCCCCACTCCCAGGCTGGACTTGGGTTTTCCTTGTGGTCAGACAGTGTGGGCATCGTTTTCCTTCGTGGTGGGCTATTTGTGTCCTTCCTGTCGCCGTGGCTGCCCAGGGAGGGACTGGAGGCTCCCACCCAGGTTCCTGATGGGGACAAAAAGTGGAGAGAGGCTATTCTAGTTAGTTCTCATTTTCCTTTGTGAGTCCTCTTGAATATTTTTATAGAGGGGAAAGTTCCAACTAAGTGAGAGAATTATAAATGAACTTCCATGGCTGTAAAGGTGGGTTCTGTTAGTGAACCCTGAAATCATTTAGTTATAAGTGCTCCTTCTTGTTACCCTAGTTTCTCAGAGTCAGAAAATGCTTGCAAAGGTTCTAGAACCTTCCAGAAGTGAGTGTAACTAACTTTGAGGGAAGGACCGGAGAGAAGGTTTGGAGAGCTAAAGACTTGCATTGCAGCCTTCTAGCATATGCCCCATCGCTCTTTCCACACTCCCTCACCCTGTTATAATTTGTTTCAGGCTATGGAAATAATATATAGTCATTGCAGGAAGAAAAAAAACTAAAAATCACCCATTTTATATACTCAGAGATAATGACTATTAACACTTGGTATACATTTGGTGTGTATGAACATACACATAATTTTGTATTCATATAGGTGTGTGAGCATGTTTTTCTGTGTCTGTTACACACACACAAACATGCTTTTATACCACCTTTTAACGTATTGTAAATATCTCTCTGTGTCATCAAGTCTGTTTTTGAAAACAATCTTTTTTAATGGCCTCATAATAGTATAAATGCTATCATTTACTTAATAGGAATTAGATATTTGCTTAATGCTCATTTTAAAGCTATTTTATTTTTAAATTTTTTTAATGTTTTTTAAAGATTTTATTTAGAGAGGGTGTGCACACACAAGCAGAGGGAGGGGCAGAGGGAGAGGGAAAGAGAATCTCAAGCAGACCCCCCGTTGAGTGTGGAGCCTGATGTGGGGCTCGATCTCATGACCCTGAGATCGTGACCTGAGCCGAATTCAAGAGTCTGATGCTTAACCAGCTGAGCCACCCAGGTGCCCCTCAGCTGTGTTAAATAATGTTGAGATGAAGATCCTTTAAACAAGTCCAACTCTGATTATTTCCTTAGGATAAATTCTTGCAGTAGAATTTTTGAGTCAAAATAATCTGAATTTTCTAAATCCCATTGATACTTGATACCAAATTTTCTCTTATAAGCTTGTTCCAATTTCTACTATCCCTCACAGAGTGAAGAGTGTCTTCAGTGTGATTACTAACACTCAGTGGTATTTTTAACCTTTGCCAGTCTGACAGAGGATGGTATATTATTTTAATTTGCAATTTTTTTAATCATGAGAGAAGTTAAAATTTTTCTGTTTGTTGCTCATTCATACTTTATCATTTGTTTTGTTTTCCCCATTCTTTGCCTATTTTTCTTTTTCTTTTTTTTAAGATTTTATTTATTTATTTGAAAGAGAGAGCACAAGCAGGGGGAAGGAGGGGCAGAAGGAGAGGGACAAGCGGACTACCCACTGAGCAGGGAGCTGGACATGGGGCTCGATGCGGGGCTCAGTCCCAGGACCCTGGGATCATGACCTGAGCTGGAGATAGATGCTTAACTGACTGATCCCCCCCAGGCGCCCCTCTTTGCCTATTTTTCTATATCAGACTGCTGAGTTATTTGCATATTGGGGTAGGTTAAGTTGTTTTTTGTCCTGTAGTGCAGATGTTTTCTCTGGTTTGGCATTTGCCTTTGGTTTATAGTATTTCACCTATAGAATGAGTGTGTGTTTTTGTGTATAGTTTCAAACTACAGCAAAGTACAGTAGGAAATAACCCTTGTTTACCTGCCACCCAGAATGCACGGACATTTATATGTTGTCCTTTTGACGTATTTCTGCTAAAGGAAGTAGAATATTACAGATAAATTGGAATCGTCCTGGTTCCCCTTCCCATATTCCATTTCCCCCTTCCCCAGGACAGCTGCTGTCATGGATTGAGCGTATGGATCCTTCCAGTCCCAGCTTTTCTTGTGTTATCACGTATACAAGTATCATAAACAATATACAGTACTAGTTTGTGTGTGCATATGTGTTCATTCATGCCTTAACTTATGTAGATACTACACATAACTCATATATATCATTGAGCAGTTTTCCTTATTTGCACAGCAGTGTGTTCAGTTCAATTCATAATGATATATACAAATCTAGTTCATGCATTTTGACTGCTGTGTAGTATTGCATCCATTGACTATGACTCCAAATTCTTCTTCAATGTATTTATCAACTTTTTCTATATTGAAAAGCACTGAAGATGCTTCTGGGTATCCAGGGTTTCTTTGCAATGCTCCGTGAACACCTGTACATGCTTCTCCTTCTGCACGTTAGGAGATCCTCTCTCAAAGGGCATCTGTAGGAGTACGTGGTGGGTCATGTGGATTTTCAGCTCTCTGGGCTCTTGCCAAATTCTTCCCAGGGTGCTCATATGCCAACTGACACTCCTACCAGCAGCGGGAAAGACTTCCTCTTTCTTGTCCCACACCTTCACCAAGACACGGTACTGTCAGGCTTAGTGATTTTAGCCCAGCCAGGAACGAGATAGCATCTCCTTGTGGTTTTAATTTGCATGTCCTGATTCCTGGTGGGGTTGAACATCTTTTAAAGTGGTTACTGCCTAGAGTTTAACAGATTTTCTCTTTGCATTCTCAGCTTCTTACCCTTTGCTCACTTTATCTTTGTCGGATGGGTGGTTGGTGTTCTTTATGTTTTAGATGCTACTGCCTTGTTATATGTATTGTAGCCATCTTCTGGTCCCTGGTCAGCCTTTCCCTTTATTTCTTCAGTTAGACCACTGGCGAGCCTTCCTCCTAGGAGACGGAGGTGAGGTCACGTTCTATCCTCAAGGAGTGCAGTATATATTCAGAGTATTAAAAAGTTCTAAAGGAACCGATCAGAGGGTTGGGGAGACACAGAGACAGCCGCGGGTCTTGCAGCAACAAGCAGGACACCAAGAAGGGTCTGGGCCGGCCAGGAGAAGGGCGGGGCCTTCCTGGGGAGGGGGTGCAGGGGCAGGACCGTGGACGGTCATCCCTAGAGCCATCGTCCTTCCGCGCCTCTGCCTACTCCTTCTCCTTGTTCTCTCCATACGGCCTCCAGTCTGCCGGCCCCCGATCCGCTCTTTCTGTCTCCTTGCTCAGAGCAGCTTGGCTTTTCAACAGCTTTGTCTTTTGAACTTTGTATATGTTGTTTTAGGTTGAGCAGAAGTTTGGATTTTTGATTTCCTATTGACCAGCCTTTACCTTTACAAGGTGTGCCTTTTATATCTCACCAGAGAAATCCTTTGCCATGCCCAAGTCAAAGACACCTGCTCGCATTTTCTGAGGATAACTTTTGTTTTTCACAGAGGTCTTTAATCCGTCTGGAGCTTTTTGCTTTTGTAGTTAAACTTCTTTCCCTTTTTTGGTGGCTTTTCCTCTGCCTCGATTCTTTCCAGGCCCTCTCTAAGCTCCAGCAGGTCTGTGTCACCAGGCTTTTCTCTGTCGCCTTGTGCTCTTTGGCTGCTCTGGGGGGGGGGGTCCCAGGCAAGGCACTCCGTGTTTATCAAGGGGGTTTCTCTGTCTCGAGCACTGGTAGCGTTTGCGACATTGGTGAGTTTGGTTTCATGTCGTGGACGCTGGCTCCAAGGGTCTAGTGATTCCACTAGAGTTCAGAATTCATTCAGTTTTGGAAACTTCCACGGTCCATTGCGTATGTGTTGTGCCTGGTGCTAGAAGTGTTCTCAGATCTGGGAATGCTGTGGGGTCATGGACCCAGGGTCTCCTACAAAGATGCTCCTGCTTAACCTTGAACATGCGACCCTCTGTATTTTTTCATAAGGGATCAAGGGCATTGATAAAGTATGCTGTTCTTGTCAGTGTCCTAGCTTTATGGAAACTGAAGTTACACCTAAGCAGCCGGGGTGCTTTGAATTTTTCCCCACCCTTCCTCACCCTATTTAGATCAGGAGAAAACAAGAAAAATCATTATCCGTCCAACAATGTGTAGTTTCTTTATAGTCGAGATGAAAAGAGACACGAAAATAAGAAAAATAAAGTTGACCAATTTATTAGACTTTCCTGATAGACTGTCACCAGTGTCCCCTGGAGAACAGGTCAAAGGTAACATCCCAAACACCTGTGGGAAACAGCTTCACAACAGACTGTTGCCCTGTACCCCCCCCCCCCGAGGGTGCCTCTGCCATCCCCTCACCAGATGTCTCGCTGGCTTCTTTCTCAGCAGAGAGGAAGCAGGAGAAGTGGGCGTAGGATGATTCCCAAGGCCGCGCTGGTGTTTCTGGCTACACAGCACCCGCCAGGGGCCTGGCCTCCCGGCCTCTGCCTGCCCATTGCCAGGCGCCACCAATCACACACCCCTAGTGACAGTTGGCATTTTTAGCATGCTTGTTTCTGTTTACACACACTTTGCCTGCCTTTTCTCCTTTTATCACTGCCTACAGCATCTTCTCTTCACCCTGCCTTTGTGTTTTTTCCTTAGGCCGGAAGCTGAGAGGAAAAGCCTTTTATTTTGTCAACGGCAAAGTGTTTTGTGAGGAAGACTTCCTGGTGAGTTTGTTACCCAAACCTCCCCTGCCCGCAGTCCTGACCAGAGTCAGGGGCAGGGGCCTGTGGGGCCGAAGAGTGTGGCTTCTCTCCGTGATCCCCGGCGCCGGCAGGGAGCTGAGTGCGGCCAGAGAAGGGGGTCCGCACTTTCCTTCTGTAGATGCACCGGGTGGCCCTTGTTCCCGAAGCAGATGACAAACCGCAGAGCTTTGTGCTTGGAAAGGACTTGAGGGCCACTTGGCCTGTCCTCTTGTGTTCTGCCCGTTTCTGCCTACCCCACCTCCCTCTTAAACCTTGGGACTGGGGTTCAGGCCTTCGTTCCTTCCAATCCCGGCTGCTCTCCGTGGGCATCCAGCCTCTGTCGTGCTTCCAGAGTCCGTCTGCGTACCAGTGACTCCCAGGCCTGAGCTCTGCCCTGTCAGCACCCCGCAGGCCAGCTGCTGACATCTCCCTGGCCATTGGACGGTGCCCTGGGCTGGCCCCCAGCCCGTCACAGGCCGCTTGTCTGAAGCAGAAGCCTCCTATTACCTGAGAACTATGGACCCCTCCTCCTTCCCACCTCTCCCAGAATGTGGCTGAGCATTGATCCTTGTGCCACCACGGCCTCCCTGGGCCAGCTTAGCGGCCACGCTACCTGTGTGTCCACCCAGCTCACCCAGGCCCCACGTGTCTAGGGTTCAAAGCATGCGCAGAAGCCGTGTTCCGGAGCCTGCCTCGCGCCTCTCCCGCTCGGCCGCTTGCTTGCGCCCCTGCACAGCCTCAAGCCTTTGGGCCTCAGCCTGTGCCATTTCCCCTGGCTGGGGTGTCTTCACCCTTTCTTTGCCCGGATACCCGACGGCCTTGTTCCCCTCCCCGGCAGTGAGCGCCCCTCCTCTGTGGGGCCGCCACACCTGGGCTTCCCCGGCCGAGCAGGAAGCAGACGGCAGGGTGGCACCCACAAACCTTTCTCCCTCACCCGACTGTAAGTGCCTAGGGAGGAGAGAACATGCTTCTTCGCCATGACCTCGTCAGACCCTAACCCAGTGCCCAGCATGGAGTGGCGCCCCATAAATGGTAGATGACCTGCGCCTGCGTCGCCGGGGGACCCGGAGATGGCTTGAGGTTGATGCACTGTGACCCAGGCTGGCCAGTACCAGACAAGCAGACCCAAACTGGAGGAAGCAAAAAGGAAAGGCATTCAGCAGGGGCCTCGGGGTCGTTTTGTCTTCAGTTTGGGGCCCTGCCTCGGCAGCATTAGCTCGCTTCTCAGGCACTGCTTGGTGGCCACAGGGCCGCAGCGCCCCGGGGCTCGCATCCTCTCGCCTTCAATGCCCATGAGCCACAGAGCCTGTCCTGCCCCTCCGGTCTCATTGGCTCTGTTGGGTCACGTGCCCACCTGTGGGCAAAATCATTGGTGCTGGAGGAACGTGGGGCTCTGATTGGCCAGGTCTGAGTCCGTGCCCTGCCTTGGCTCCCAGCAGGCGGTCGGCCGCACAGGCTCATGGGAGGTTGAGGTGGGGGTGCGGCTGGCTCACCCTGAGAATAGAGAACTGTCGCCCTTGAGGTTGCAGAAAGTTCCCTTTTTCTTTTTTTCCAACCTTCCTTTCCATTACATGTTTCCTCCCCCCCCCCCCCCCATAATGTGTGTTTGTAATATCTAAACTTCTAGTATCTTCCAGCATCTGGTATCTTTTCTGTGTGCTTTCCTGAAAAGTGTTTCCCGTTTCTCTCAAGACTCCAGCTGTGCCTGTGTGTGTGCGCGTGTGCGTGTGTGTTTCGGTAAGATAGAGAATATTTACCAAGTTTCTTTGAAACTAAAGCCATTGGCTTTTTAGCCAGAACCAGACTTGAATTTGAATCCTGTCCTTACCCCTTACAGGCTGTGTGACCTTGTGAAAGTCATTTAATCCTCTCTGAGTTTCCCTTGTTTTCATCTGAGAAATGGTATGATATATACCTTGTTTTAAGAATTGTTTTAAGGAGGGGCGCCTGGGTGGCTCAGTCGGTTAAGCATCTGCCTTTGGCTCAGGTCGTGATCCTAGGGTTCTGGGATCGAGCCCTTCCATCGGGTTCCTTGCTCAGCGGGAGTCTGCTTGTCCCTCTCCCTCTGCTCCTCCCCCTACTTGTGCTCCCTCCCTCTCTCTCTCTCTCTCAAAAAATAAAATAAAATAAAATCTTAAAAAAAAAAAAGAATTGTTTTAAGTAATACAGCCTGCATCAGACTCCCCTGATGGGCTTGTGAAGACATAACGTGTTACCAGGTCCCCTCCCAGAGTTTCTAATTCAGTAGGTCTGGGGTGGAGCCCAAGAATTTGCATTTCTTACAAGTTCCCAGGTGATGTCAGGGAACTCCTCTTTGAGAACCACTGGCTTAGAGAATAAAGCCTGTCTATGTACAGCCTCTTACACAGAGCCTGGCATGTTGTGGATGCCCAGATGCAGCTGTTGTTAGGGTGAGTGGTATTGGTATTTGTAATGGCTTTGTGGCAGAAGATATGCCATGATTCATCACACAACTGTTGTTGTCCTCTGGGAAACGACAGATTCCTGTATAGAGTGACACATCTTTCTGAGAAGTTCCTTGTCATCCTCGTGACTTGTGGGCAAGTGGATGCTGGGTCATCTGTCCTGCCTGGCTTTAACTTTCTTTTCTGCTTCCTCTGCAGTACTCTGGGTTCCAGCAGTCTGCTGACAGGTGTTTTCTTTGTGGACATCTGATCATGGACATGGTGAGTAGGGTCAGTGGAACAAGATGATGGCACAGTGGGAGGGGGAGGCATTCACAGAAAAAAGAAACTAACAGTTGAAAACTGTGTTTCCTACCTTGATTTATGGTTGCATCTGGTTTTGTTAAGAGAAGACCTGTGTAAGGCCGCTGCTCGCTCTACAAGAAGCCATGTTGTTGGCTTTTACTGGTATTAGCATCCTTAATCATGTAGTCCACCACAGTGTTGTGTTTCTGATGATGCTCTTTTCTGTGGGCTGTTTGGATCACACCAGCCTCCCTCTGATTTTCTGTTATCCTTGTGGTGTCCCGGGTGAGATGCCAAATGCCAAACTTCATCTCCCTTGGAGTTGGGTACAGAAAGTTGGATAAACACAGTTGTTTGTGCCTCATGTTCTGCCTGGCTCTATCTGTTCCTAAGATGAGTTTTGGGGGCCTGTCATTAGTTCTGAGACAGCAGAACAAGAAGCAAGTTTTATACATTCTGTTCTTCACTCAGCCACTGGCTCTCTGAGCTTGTCTTGGGCCTCAGTATCTTTATCTCTTCAGTGGGGACAGTTTTTCTTTCCTGGCCTCCTTATAGGGTAAGGTTGCGAGGTTAACAAATGCAGAATACTTAGTCTGTCTCAGGGATCAAACTGTTCACCATTGGAGATCAGGCCTTAAGAATTTCTTTAATATGCTGGTTAAAGAAAATTATTATACAATATTCTTTTAGTCGGAAAGAGGTAAATCCCTCTCTAAGCTGACCCATTAATTCCATTCTGGAGAAGGGAATTGCTAATCATTGCTATATTTTTTTCTTTTACCTCTCTTATTGAGAAACAACTCCTAGAGTAAAGGCTATACATCTTAAGCGTACAGGTGAATAAAGTTTTGCATATGCACATACCCGTGTAACCCCACCCAGGTCAAAGTGTGGATGTTTCCCACATCCCACACCCCAGGAACTTCCTTCTTGTCTTCCTCCCAGTCCAGAAACCCTCCTCCAAAGGTACCCTCTATTCTGAGCTCTGTTGCCCCAGATTTGTTTTGCTGGTCCTGGAACTTCATATAAATGGAATTACACAGTACAGAGTCCTTTGGGTCTGCCTTTTCTCACTTAGAAAATGTTTGTTGTTGTTGTTGTTGGTTAAATATTTTATATATTTGGTAGAGAGAGAAAGAGAGAGGGCAAACACAAGCAGGGGGAGTGGCAGAGGAAGAGGGAGAAGCAGGCTCCCCGCTGAGCAGGGAGCCCGATGCGGGCACTCGATCCCAGGACCCTGGGATCATGACCTGAGCTGAAGGCAGACGCCCAACGACTGAGCCACCCAGGCGCCCGACATAAGTTTTCATTTATCTAGGGTAAATGCCTAGGAGTGGAATTACAGAGGCATATGGTAAATTATGCTTACTTTTTTTTTTTTAAGATTTTTATTTATTTATTTGAGAGAGAGTGAGAGTGAGGGAGATCACAGAGGGAGAGGGAGAAGCAGACTTGCCACTGAGCAGGGAGCCCGATGTGGGGCTCAGTCACAGAACCCTGAGATCATGACCTGAGCCGAAGGCAGCCGCTTAAACGCCTGAGCCACCCAGGCACCCCTTATGTTTACTCTTATAAGAAACTGTCAAACTTGTCCAGAGAGTCTATGTCATTTTGCATTTCCACCAGTAAGAGTTCCAGTTGCTCTATATGCTTACCCAGCACTTGGTATTGTCAGTTTTTATTTGTTTTAAGTTTAGCCATGCTAATAGATGTGTAGTAATATGTCATTGTGATTTTAATTTATATTTCCAAAATGGCTAATGATGCTGAGCATCATTATGAGTATTTTTGTAATGAGCATTTTCATGTTCTAGTTATCCATATGTATTTTTTTAAGTTTATTTATTTAAGTAATCTCTACATCCAACGTGGGGCTTGAACTCACAACCCTGAGACCAAGAGTCACATGCTCTTCCAACTGAGCCAGCCAGGTACCCCTGTTATCCATATATTGTCTTTGAAGTATCTGTTAAAATCTTTTCCT